TAAAAATTAAATAATAAAATTAAATAATATGTGCTACGTCAATCACTATTTTGCCCTAATGATTGGATCTACCCTGTGAACCAATGAAATACACCTTGCATCACATGTGTCACATGATCTAAAAATAGAACTAAAGTAATATGATAACTAAAACTATAGATAATAATTAAAGGAAATAATTAAGGCTAACAATACATTTGCCAAGCTTGTGATCTATATCTACTAATGTAATATATTTTGATCTATTTTTAGTTGATAGAAAGCTTTTTGGCTTGAAGAACTTTTTGTTTTAAGCATATTTTTGGAAGGCTGGTCGTGTGCACATATCTTTAGCCATTTTTCTAAGTGTAAAGTTCTCAACTTCTTTTTTGTTAATAGCCTCCAGACATCTTGTTATATTTTCTTCTTCGTCAAAGTCAAATATAATTTAATGGTTGTTATTGATAAATTCTGCTTTGAAGGAATTTATTTGCTTAAGTATTTTTAGAGCTTCTTTGAGATATGTAATTTCTTTCTTCTTTATTTTCTTCTAACAACATGGCTTGAAGTACTCACACCTTGATTAATCTCTGTTATTTTATGAAAAATAGGTTTACTATTGTTCCTTGAACCCTATTTCTTGTATTATAAGACATGCTGTCTGTAATACAGCTTTCCTATACAGCTTCTTTTAACACTTCTATTTCTATTTGTTCTACTATTACTCTATTCTCCATTATGATTTCCTTAATAAAGTGTGCTTCTTTGAATTTTGTATAAGTTAGTTGAGCTTCCATTGTGATGCTTTCTATCATTGACACTTCAATTTGGTTAGAGCTTAATATCTATATTACTGACTTGCCTGTCAACATATTATATACCTTTTCTTTTAGTATAGGTGCTTCCAAATCTTCCTTTTTATCTTGTCCCTTTTCCTAAAGAGTAAGAATATATTGCCACTATATACATTCTTTTGCTATTACCAATGAATCTATTCTCAATAAATTGGCAATAATATTATCTAATATTGAGGAAACATATATTGACTCAGTAAGGTGGAGCTGATTAGTTGTTATTGGTCTCAGCTCATGCTGTATTATTCTTGTTTTCCAGAGTACTTGTTAAGGATCTTGATGAAATGCTATCTTTTTTATTATTTTCAATAGCTCCTTTTCTCTTTTCTCTAGAATCCTGATTATTGTTTATTCTTTCATTGACATGTTGTCATGTGATATATAAAAAATTTTTAACATGTATTGTTATTATATAAGTGTCTTTTTAATCACATGATCAGATAAATACTATTATATATTATTTTTTCGTTTGGTATATATGACAATAAGTTGCTATATTAATATTAGGGAGTCTATAATACATAGTTTTTATGTATTTACATGTCTGGTATTTGTTTATTAATATATAACTGGCTGTGATCAACTGTTGATCTTGCTTTTAGATAACACGTGCTGGTTGATTGCACGTGTTCTAGTTTGTTGATCTGTCACATCCTATCATTTTATTGTAGATTGATCTGCTTTATTTAATACATGTCAATCAGGTAGAAAGTTAACATATTTATGTTTACATGACATAAATTAGTTGATCTGGAGTTGTTGTGTTGTTGTGATCTTTTAGTTGTTTGATCAAAGAGACTTGGACATTCTCCTGGATTTCAGCTAGCTTTGAGATTGTACTAATTTATTGATATAATCTATTGCTTCTGAGACTTCTTTTAGTGCCTAAAAAGATGTTAACCTACATTGGCCTGGCTAAAAGCTTTGTGATATTAAGATTGGATCTCAAGAAGCCTATTGTGAATCAGCTTGTTTTTGCTTTTTCTCCTTCCTAAAAACAAAAATGATCTAGGGATATCTGTCTTTCAAGCTGAGTGAAACTCTTTTCTTGTTATTGCAAAGTAGGTTTTGTTGTCTAGAAGTGAATAGTTGTGTCCTCTAAGATTTGCTCTTATGTAGAAGAGTTTTTTATGAGTTTTTCAAGAAAATTACCTAAAAAAGAATTTTTTTTGAAAAAATGTAAATTAGCAGAAAATCATTAAATCTTTAATTATATAATTAAAAATTATAAACTTTATATACTGTATATTATATTTCAATATAACTTTTTTCACTAATTCTTTGACCATACATAAAAAAGATATTTGCAAAAAGATTTTACATTTTCTTGCTAATAAAGTCTTAATTCATTTTTTTAAAACAACTTAAAGTATAATTTCAAGAGTTACCTTTATTCTTTTTTTATTGTATACAAAGTCTTTACTCAAAAACTTAACTTCTAGTAATCAAGAAAAGTTTAAGTAACATCTTTGATATCAATGACAAGAAAGTTTTTAAAAAAAGAAGAACTGATTGTGAAGTATCTGAAGATCTTTCTAATCTTTAAAGTAAAAGATTTATAGAGATTTGTTATAGTCAAAAGATTTATTTTTTTCCTTTTAAATAGTCTTAATCCTCTTAGAGTTTCTATTTTTATGGTTTTCTAAAAAATTTTATTTATCTCAATTTGACCTTGAAATTTGAGTAGTACAAATTCTTATCAAAAATAATTAGCTGATATAAAAAATATTAATTTCTGAAATATAAACAATCTTCTATTAATTATACTCATATAGTATATCTTGATATATTATTGATAATATAGAAAAGAAAGTTTTAGAAAAAGTTTTCTCTCTAACTACAATATGTATATTCAATATCTGGAAAACAATTATAATATTGAAATATGGACAATGGATAGATAAATAGAACTGATTTCTATTCTGTATTAAGTTTTTTAAATAGTAAAAAGACTTTTTTGAACAAAAGTTGAGGTTTCCAAGTTTTCCATTCAATTAAGTAAAATTCTTAAAATGATTTTTTTATTCTAATCAAATAAATTCTTCATAATATAACATTGATTCCAGTAGTATTAAGTGTATTCATACATTGATAAAAGAATAAGTTCCTTAAATATTCTTTTTAAAATCATTTTTAGAAATGTTTAAATTTCTCAAATATCATAAAACTTAAAGAATATTCTAATCGAGTAAACTCTTTTTAAGTGAAAACTATAAAATGGAACAAGAACCTTTTGAAAAGTTTTGAATAGTATTTTTTTTTCTCTTTTTTTCATACTATACTTTAGCAATTTATTATTTTTTCAAATAATTAATAGTGCCAAACTGTTGATAATAATCTCAATAATTAGAGATTTTAATCAAAGTATTAGAAAAATGTAATATTATTTCCAATAATTAGAGGTCTTAATTAAAGTACTAGAGAAATATAATATTATTTCCTAAATTTAATTTATAGTAATTCGTTTAGACTTAGTTTTGTTTAGTCTGAACTAGCTTAGTAGACTTTTTATATTTTTTAAATATTGTAGTTCTTCAATTAATAATGTATAATAATAAATTAATCATTTTGTGAAAGTCTATAAAATATTTTAATATTTTAATATCTTAATAAATATATATTATAGCAATATAATTGTGGATTTAAAATATATATATATATATATTATATCTTAATATTATTGTTAAATATTTTTGTTTTTATATTAATTATTATATAACTTATAATAATAACTAATCAAAATTATTTAAAAATAATAATTTAATAGAAAAAAAAATTTTTAACAATAATTAAACTTTAAAAATTAATTTTTGTAAAAAATATAAAAAATAAAATTAGTATTAAAATATATTATAATATGTAAATTTTATAATTTTTGATTATATAATTAAGAATTTAAAATTGATAAAATTAAAATTTATAATAAAAACATAGTAAGTAAATTAAAACTTTTGAAAACAATTGTATTTTAAATTAGATTATAATTAATATATATTTAAAATTTTATTTTGATATTTTGGCCAAATAATTATTATACTTATTAAATTATAAAAAATAAAAGAACAAAAAGATATATTTCAAATTATAAATCAGATATATTAATTAAAATATAATGATAAAAATTGAAATAAAAAATCATTAATTTATTAATTAAATTTCAAAAAAAAAAAAATTAAAAAATTAAAAAGAATATATAAAATTTTTAGTATAAAAATATATAAATTTAGAAAAATAATTAAGGAATCAAATAAAAAAATAAAATTTATTAAAGTAATAAAAAAAAGATGAAGGTTTGAAAAAGATTTCTTAAGAAATAATAAACTAAAAAACTAAAGAAATTAAATTGATTATAGAAAACTGAATTGTTAACAATTTAATTTTAAATATGTCAGAATAAAAACAAAAAATAATAAATTGCTAGTTATAATATCCTTAATTAAAAAAACTATTTATTTGAATTATTGATAAACCAAAAAATTATTTTCAATATTTTATAATAAATTTTTATTTTTCATAAATAGTTTATTTAAAAAAAAAAAAATTAATTGATAAAAGATTTTTTTTAAAAAAATAATAATATAGTACAAGAGATATTAGAAATATTCAGATATCAAGAAAGTTATATGTAAAATTTACAATTTTTGAATATACTGTATATACAATACTGTATATTATGCTAAGCTAAATTTTAAAATTTAAGAATTAGAGCCATTATTAGATACTAAAAGTTCGCAAGCATTTTATTTGATTAATTATTAATAGCACAAACAGTCAAGACACTGTACTACACAGTATTAGATGAATAGTATCTATTTGAAGACGAATTAAAAGTTAATCAAAATGTTTAAACTTTTTGATAATATGTACTGTATATAGGTCCTTGACTTCCTCATAAGTCATTATTGCAATTAATATGATCACATTTGCCGAAAAAAAGTTCATGATCGTTACATTGCTCTTAAATAAAATACACTGATAAACATGAAGTTTATTCACGATCTAGGTAAAAATCTTTTACTCTATAGGATCTGATTATCGATGCCTAAAAATAAGGCCAGTATTACAATAATCAAATTTAAAAATAAATTATTGTTGAGGCATAAATATAGAAAATTATAAATTTTATCACCACCAATTTCATAAAATAGTATTTTGTAATAAAAGACATTAAATAATCCCATCTTCCTTACTATCATATAACAATTTTTTATAAACCCAACTTCCAGTTTCCTTATTATTATCGCCTAATCGAAACTTTCCATCAATCAATTCGTCGAGTCTAAGAAATTCTTTGTCATCAGGTATATAATCAAAATATTGGAGAACAACTTTTTCTCCACGTTTTACTTTGTCGCGTTGTTTTTGCTCTATCTCGCCCTATTAAAATCAATGTCATTAAAGCATATTCTTATTAAAATAATCACGCATAGTGAAGCGGGAGATAGATTACCTTTAATTTAGAAGCCGTCACGAAATCTCCTTCGTTGATTGCCTTTGCAACATATTGCCATAAGTTTATGCTCTCCAAAGGATTTTGTTCTTCTACTGGTGCGATGACGGGTTCAGCCCTTTTTGACCCCTCTATGTCAATGAATTCGGCCTTCTCTTTTGTTTTATTTTTCTCTATAACAGATTTCCCTGACCAATCTCCATTAACCGTATAAAGAGGAGTATTTTCACCATTTTTGCGTACTACAGCGTTAAATGTGTGTTTCTGACCCGAGATCCAACCTTTACCACTGAACTCAATAACTATATTGTAGTTCTGAGATTGAATCACACTTATGCCGCTGTAATATTTATTTGATTTATTATTGTTTTTTTTTTTTTAGTTTGGAATATTGATTCAGATTTTTGAACATACCTCAATTCTACATATGGAGCGCCTCTCCATAATCCAAGAATTTGTAAGGACGGTAACGTGATCAAATATTTGTCAGGATGATCTCTCGTGCGAACGATTATATGACCCACTTGCGTAACATCAATACGTGCATAAGTGGCTCTAAAAGTACTTTTTTGACCGGCTAAGATATATCAATCAGATAAAAATAAGAACAGGCATTAAGTGGTTTCAATGCTAAATACAAAGATCCCTACATACTATGACCATTCGCCGTCACGCCTGCTTTGCTATTTTCAAGATATATGGCAGAAACCGGTGGATGATGACTCACTTGTTCTGAAAACAGGATAGTCTCGCCACAACCATTCCGGCTATTCCACCTTGCTAGGAATTGTTCGCCTTTATAAAGTACATTTTAGAACGATGAGCGAGTCCTGTTATTGAAATTAAATAAACTTTACCTTACCGAGAATTGGGTTGAACGGCTTCTTTTCAATTTTATCTTTATCTTTTCTGGATGCAAATGATCCGTATAATGTACTAACAAACCATTTAAGGACCGCTACGGCTCTTTCAACTTCACTTTTTGGTTTTGCAATGTCTGCAAAAAGTTCTGGATAATCGGCCCAATATTGACTATTAATTCAATTAATGTGTAAAATAATTATTATATTATTTGCACAAAATAAAAAAAAAATTTTTTTTTTCGAAAATTACTCATCTCCTTACCCATATTCCAACGTAGAAACACCAGAAAGCAAGAAACTGGGACACGTTAAACCATAAATATCTCCTGTAAAGGTAGAAAGAGTCTTCAAGAAACCACTAAGTTCGGATTTCTTTGACTCCGGAACTGTAATTTCAGCATCGTCACTCATTTTTTCTGCGTTATGGAAAACGGCGGTGACGAATGGAACGATAAATATCGAAATTGCGTTTTTTGTTTTTTCGAAATATTTATATTCATGCATTATGGTGTAATACATACGTACGTACGTACAATCAATTCGTAATAGTGCAAATACAGTATAGGCGCATGTGATTGTTCTATGTACATGCTGTCATGTTTGAAAAACTGCCAAGAACGGTACTTATACGTAAGGAGGATCGCTGAAGTTTTTAATCCGGTGGTTAAATTCTTGCACCAATTTATTTACTTTAATAAATTATATAAATTATTTAATTGACAGATCAGGCTAAGCTTTCATATATTATTACCAGTATTATTAATTATACAAGGAAATGAAAAGAATATCTAAAAATATATAAGAATATTGTATTATAAAAATATATTTTTTCTCAAGATTTATATTTCTTTTTTTTTTTTTTGAACGCTGGTTGAGCCGAAACTTTATTGAGGAATCCTTACATAAGGTGGAGAAAACAGAGTTCCTCTAAGACTATATATTAGAAGCATTTAAACAAATAAAATGTTACAATAGAAGAGCTTCTTTGTAGAGACTTCACCTTGTGACCTGGCCACCTCTTGAAAGGAAAAGAGGACTAGTCTAAGGTCTAACTAGTGCTGAAAAAAATTTCTTAAAACTATGCGGAACACCGGATAATCGATCTAAATTTTCTGCTCCTGCTAACCATTTATCAGAGATCATCATCAACCAATCCAACATCTTGCAAATTATTCATCGAAGTACTGTGTCACTTCATCTTTAAAAAGGAAAAATGTGAAAAAAGGGAAAGGGAATTACTTATCCAAAGACCTGGTGGAACCTATGGCCAAGGAGATACCTTAAAACCTTTGATGAGGTTGATGAATCCAGTCCTATAAGTAATATCATTTTCAAGCATTTGCTGCTTATTTAAGAAGGTACAAAACTTTCAAAGGTAAATTATGCATAAAGGAAATTCTTTCATTCTGACAAATATTTTCAACTAGTACTTTCACTTTGAGTAAGAATGATAGCTTTAAAACCTTTCTTGAGGATAAGGTTTATCAAGAACCTTGATATAGCTTTGGTTTCTGGTTCTTTAGCAAACCATGAATTAGAAGTAAAAAACCTACCAGCTGAAAAAAACTTCCTGTCCACCTTATTTGTTTTTTATAAGAAAAAGAACAGATCTTTACCTATCTATGAGAACAAGAGAAACCTACTTGACTATCAAAGATAGATAACTTCAATTCTAAAAATGATTAAAGTGTTTTGTGATCTTTGGCATGGTCAGATAAACTTTTTCTTGTTTCCTAAGATGTGTTGGATACTGTGTCTTATATCCACCTGTACCACAGATATATGACTTATAGTAAACCCCAGGTTCTTATGAAGCTAAAAAAATGTATTCAGGTACATAAGGTAATCAATGGAAGCTTGTTTACTTCTTTTATTAATGTGAGCTCTATCTGTCCAATTATGACATGAGAAACTTTGTACTACTCAAAATTTAGAGTCAAACCGAAGTAAGCAAAATTCTTCAAAAAAAATCAAAAACAAGTACTATAAGAAGAGAAACATGACAAGAAAGTGAAGAAGTTGTCTCTCATTATACAAACACTTCTGTAGTATTTCTCTATAGTATAAGATGATAGTACATTAGTTCTTCTTCCTTTTGAAACTTTCTTATTCTTGATAGGAAAGGTGTTGTTTGACTTTTTGATTACTAGCGATCAAGTTTTTGTTCAAAGAGAAGTATTAACAAGAAGGAAGGGAGATAGTGATAACTCTTGAAGTTTTTTCAAGTTGGTTTAAGGAAAGTATTAAGACTTTATTAATATAGAAGTATAAAAATTTCTTATGAACGTCTTTTTTGTGTATGATCAAAAAATCAGTGGAAAGAGTTTTTTTCAAAGATTTATATTTCTAAGATTTTTTAAATAAGAATTATCTTATTGAAATATATTTTTTTCTTTTAATTATCTAAAAAACTTATTCATTCTTAATTTTAAATTTCTTTATTACAGTATATTTTATTTAAGAATATATATTATTTTCTAGAAATCTATTTTGTTTTAAAATTTTTATCAATATACGTTTTTTTTTTTAATATTCTCTGTCAAGTTAATTATGTATATTTTATTAAACATTTGTAAATTATATATATAAAATGAGGTACTAAAGTTAATTCTCTAACTAACTCACTTGTCTTGATTTTATTATCTCTCTAAATACAACTTCAGGAGTGATTTATTATTTTATTAATAGTTTAGATGAAAACCTTTTCAACTTCTAACAATTTTTTATCAATATACTAACTATAATTTCTTATTTTTATAATAATATAAAGATTTTAAATAATCAAAGATAAAATAAAATAATGAATGCACTTTCAGATCTTAAACTACTATATATTAATTCAATTTTATTTAAAAACAATATATATATTTATAATTAAAGTTGTATAAGATTATATTTATTCATATAATATCAACTCTTTCCGCTGATCTCTTGATTACACACAAAAAAGATGTTTGCAAGAAATTTTTTATTTCTTTGCTAATAAAGTCTTAACACTATCCTTAAAACAACTT